GCTGATTAACATTTAGCTTGGGATATGCTGAAAACCTTGGGTTGTTTTCCACCTGGTTATTAACTATCTTGACGTCATGTAGTTTGTTTTCTTCCTTCAGTATAACTGCATATCTCCTTTTTGAGATTCTTATGATAGTCTTTTTGAATCTAAATATTCACTGATGTAACCAAATAATTCATTCGGAAAATGTTTAAAGACCACTTATTGTGTTTCAGGCACTGTGCTAGTGCTCTTCTGAGGAGACAAAGAAAAATAAGATCCCTGTCTTTAAAGAGTTAGATGTCTAAAGGTGAAGATAAAGAAGTGAACAGGCAATTTCAATATAGTGTTCTCAGTGTTTTCACAGAGGCTCGAACTGGTGTTATAGAAGCTCAGTGGAGGGGCTGCAGTCGTGAGGGAAGGCTTCCTAGAGGGGATACTCAGGCAGAGAATTATCAGGGCTCAGTAGGAGCTACTCAGGTATTGGAAGGAAGTCATTCCAGGGGCACTTGGGAAACTGCAAAAGCAAAAGGTGCCTGTGGGAAGATGGTAGGAACTGAGACTAGAGAGTGTAGCTCTCTGAGGTTATCCTACATAGAGCCAGGTACAAAATGGACTGATGATGATCTTTAGTGTTTACATCAACTTTTTGATAAGGATGACTTGGCCCCAAACCAAATTTTAAAGAACCTAATTTTTCAGCTGGTTATGGCTATTACTAATTATTTTAATAATGAGCTTTCAAACACTGGTACATCCATTCAGAGTATTATGACCTATAAGAATGTATTTTGCTAATGAAAAGTCATACCTACTTTCTCGTATTAACCATAGAACCTCAATGAAGCCAAGTCTAGGCGCTCAACACCACGGCCACAGATCTATCATCCCTCAACTATCCTGGAGTAAATGGAAAGAGCAATGCCACTCTTCAGTCATTTAAAGGTAAATGTTGAGAAAGCCCATTATGTCCTTTGCCTATTAGGTGAGGGAATTGGAACTGATCTTCGGGGAATGGAATAGTAGTTTAAAAAAAAAAAGAGAGAGATGGAGAAAAGACAGGACAAACGCTCCACAGTGAGTCCAACATGCTCAGATACAGAAGACAGAAGACTGGCCCACTCCCTTCAGAACTCCCCTGATCCCATAAGTTTCAACTCCTCCATTTAATCTTGGAAATAGCACTTCCTTTGGTAATATTTCCCAGGTCAATACCATAGTGTTTAGCAGTTAGACTCCAAAAAAGTATCAGCATAGAGAGCACACTAGTTTTGAATGACAGTAGACAGTTGCAAAAAAGGAGTAGGTGTCACAATACTTTACACTAAACTAAAGCTTTCATACAGCATTTTAAAAAATTAAAGAATGACAGCTAGAATAGATGGATTCATAGGGAAAATAAAAAAATGAAAGGATGTGAATTAAGGGAAAAGAAATAAATGTATTTACTGAAAGATGAACCCTAATAATGTTTTATCCATGTGTTAAAATTGAGATTAATATAAAAAGAAGCCTTGGTAGGAATATACATTAATTTAAAAACTAAGAATATGATTGAAATAGACATACTTGACCAAGGTGCAATGTACATCATCACACACACAAAAATAACATCTTCCAATTAAGTTCAATTGTTTTTTTATTTTGGGAGAAAATCAATAAAACTATGTTTGAAAGTGAATGTTAGATTTATTTTTAAAATATTTTACCTGATTTAAATAATTTAGGCACTTTTCAAGACACCAAAGGCAACAAATGCAAGATTTCAGCACACATCGTGCACAAGCATTTTCCTGGATGGGAGAAAAATTGAAATAATTAAAACCCAAGGAATCAGACCATCAGATAGAAGCCGTCAAACATTAGAAAAATAAACAAAAATGTAAAAATCACAACCTATGCTTCAAGACCTCCTCACCCACCCTTTTCTTCCTTAAAATGTAATGGCTGAATTATTTTTAATCAGCTCGGGCCAACATTTATTTAGTACCCATTGCAACATTTATTTAGTGCCTATCTTATGCATATAAGATGCAGGGAGGTATATAAGACCAGCAAGGAACCTACGATCTAGTAGGAGGGAAAAAATACTACACATAAAAAAGGTTAGAATACGATATAGGTACTAAGTGTTATGAGAATGGTGAAAAGAGAGACAACATGGTCTGGGAGACGGGAAAAATACAAGAAAGGCTTTTAGGAAGAGGAGGCATTTGGCCTAAACCATGTTGAAAGGCATGTTATTTCCACAGTCAAGGACAAGGAAGAGGTTCTGAGGAACACAGGACGAGAAGCTCGGGACACTTCCCGTAACCAGTGATGAGATGAAGTTCAGCAAATCATATGAAGTGTATGAGTGGGAGAAAAGGAGAACTTTGTAAAGACTTTGAGGAAAACATTCACAACATTGCCTTAACATTACTGGGTTCTTTACTGCATGTGGAACTGAGGTCTGAAATGTGCCCACAGAAAGGCCAGAAAAGCATTTCCCCCTCACCTTTCCTTTGAGCTGACTGTGAATGTACATAAGGATCATTCGCGGAATTTTGACTAATGTGATAATGAAAGATCCTTTTGCCACCGTACCAAGGTGATAACGAATAAGACGATTCACTGATGCCAAAATAGGTGTAAATGGCAAATTCCTTTTATCCCTATTTTAAAAATGAACAAAAAGACAATTAAAGCCTAAACCAGGATGGAAACACAGGTACAGGTTACAGACCAATGCGGTGAAAAATCAATTCATTATTCTTATTCCATGACAAAATGGCAAAGTAATATGTAACTAATACAAATGCTATGAATGCACCATATAAAATTAATGTTTAATTTCTCTATGGTAGTTTCATGGGTTCTGATGCTCTCACACTTGAAGTTAAATAAAACTGTACTTTGAAAGCTCTTATTAGTGAATACTTATGGAGTTAATCGTACATTCGGAAAATGAAATTTAAAAAGATGTTCAATCTAGACCTGGCACCTCATTGCAAAAGAAAACTATAGCATTAATACTCAGCTCTGAAGTTAGCAAAGGGGACTTACAATTCTAGTTCTGATCCAAAAAAATATAAAAGGCTTGTAATCCTTTGATGGACTTTTATATAAAGCAAAAGTACATATGGCACTACTGCAAGATTTATTTTTCTGCTAAATATAAGTTATAACATGACCTGCTGTTCTGATAAATTTTCTGATACAATTACAGAAAAATACAAAAAATAAAATAAAACCTCCCATTTTCCTACCTCCCAGAATTATCATCTATAACATTCTGTCATATTCATTTTCAACTATTTTTTGAAGAAATGAAACTCTTACAGCCTTAGTCTCATTTCCTTCCCCTCCACCCTATAGACACAATTGCTCAGATGGACTTGAGTTTTCAGACAAATACAAATTCTCACCTAGTAAAATAGTATGTTACCACAGCTCCTGCCACAGTCATCTGCTGACATGCTAGAATAAATTCACTGATCCAAATCAGGCCCACCACATGGTACCACCACATGTACTGCAGAGGCCCAGAAATTTTGAACTCCACAAAGCCTTGGTCGTTCTGAACAGCACTGCCTAGGAAAATATCAAGGAAAGAAAGAAGCAGCACATAAAGTACAAAGAAATATGGCTATTAAATATAAGAGATTAATCTGACTTCCAATGATAGGTCCCTACCCCCAAATCACATACTTTACGATCTCAGTGCTATTTTATTAAGGAACAAAAATAATTATCACTTGAAAAGTTGTGAAATTAAACCTGTATAATTATGTATTTTGCTTTCCTCAAAGAGATCATATAAAGCTTTTAAGAGATGTTCTATATGAATAAAGTTCTTATTACATTATCAGTTATTTAGTTAAGGCATGAATTTTCAAACACTTTGATTTTTTTCAGACATTACTTATCCAATAATTATAGACCTAAATCATAAGCAAAGTAAAGAAATTAATATTATATTTGATTGGTGAGTGTGTGCTGAATGGAGACATATGTTACATACAAGTTTACTATCCTTATACTAATCCTCACAATTAATTCCATTTTGGCTTAACCTTTGATGGCTAGAAGCAAGTCTGAGAATCTATGAACATCATTCAGAGCTCTAGCTAGGTTCAAATTCATGACCATCTCAAAATTAGGATGCAATTCCAGGCCTTACCTGGCCTAGATCCACCCTGCTAGGATGCTCTAAAAATCATGAATAGGGAGTAGGTTATTGAAGAGCTATTTCCATTGTTAGTTCTGATGGCTATAGGAACTTCATCGACACACATCTGAAGAATTATCTCTCTGATGTTTTGAAATATTTGAATGTTGATAAGATTGGTCGCCAAGAGAAAGAAGCAACACATCTTCTTACCGGTAGTGCCAAGAAAAAGAAGTGTCATGATCCAGTAAACCCAAAACAAGACAAGAGCGAAGAAAGTCCAAAAGGGCTGGAAGACCAGCAGTGGCAAGTGAATGAAGACCTTGCCAGCCACGTGGAACAAGGCAATGGTGAGAGCGACACGTTTGCGCATGACCAACATGATCAGGAACAGGATGACCTGTATGGAGAGAACAGACGGAAAGGCTCCAATTACTGTTTTAAGTGGTGAAAACAGAAACTGAAAATGGTGGAAATCCTTAACACAATCCTTCATTCCAAAACCTGTTAAGTATCATTCTCTGAATCCCAATAATATTTTATCAGTCTGTATCTCTCTTTCAGTACTTACTTTCAACTGTATATTATGGTTATCAAGTGTCCTTTAAAGCTAAGCATAAAAAAATTATCAATTTACTAATAAATCCTAGAATCTTCTACCTTTCACTTTCTTTTTTTTTTTTTTTTTTTTTTTCC